CCCCCCCCCCTCAGTCCTGAAGTTCAAGATCCTTTGCCATTTTTTCTCTTTCTTCACCTTCTCCAGGTACTCCGGAATTCCTTCCGTCGTCCTTACGAACTCGTACCATCTGTTGGATCCCATCCGCTGCCGCCGCTTCAAGGGTTTCAACCCTTCCCCACGGCTCTCTGCTTTCGTCTCTCCACATTCTCTTCCACTCCCCAATCTTCCCCCTCATATTCTCCACCTTTCCTTTAGTCTCACACCCCTGTCTCTCCTCCACCTCCAGTCTTTTTACTCATATCAAAGAGAGTTGTCACACCCCTAATTAATTAACCCAAATCTTCCCTACCCTTGACCCTAGCCGCGGCCACCCTTACCTATACACCCACTGCACTCCCTCGCTCTTTTAGCGTTTACGAACCCTAGACCCGCTGAAAACGCGTTAGCCGCCTCTAACACGGGAAACGATGGCCTCATTATTATTTATATATATTTCTTTTATTTAAAAAAAAATTGAACTCCGATTCATATATATCTATCGTTGAAAAATGAAATAGAAACTCATGTAGCAGCACCACAAAAGTAACAATACGCGCGCGTAGGGCGCGTTCATCTCCAGTTATGAGGAAATTTCAAGGCTTGAAATAACCTGAATATACTATATTAGACCAAGCTTGGCTGACGCTGCCGAGTTCAAGCTCGGGATTGCAAACCTCGACCATGATCAGAACTTGGTCAAAGTCTGTATGTGTATTGTATCATCAAGTTGGTTCAAACGATGATAATTTCATAAAATCGAGATTGATTTGAATTAGAAATTTATCCAAAGCTTGGTATCATAGGTTGATTTATGGTTGTGCTCATCATTCAAACTTGGATATCCCCACCTGAAGAGTACCGGTGAAATTTCTAATAGCTTACCATATATTCAATTGAATATAACAGACGTTATATGAATTCTAAAAAAAATCTGCTAAAGTTATTAATTTTATGTCTTCAAAATATCAATTCATATACGGTAACCGTCTTCCGATACAATTTGCCACAGTTTCCGCGAAAAAAATTGGATTTCCGCAAATTTCAATGATGATGGTCATTACCTTGATATTTTTCTGCTCTTCGAGTGATGAATATTTCAACAAGGGGTAAAGGGTATGCCAACTCTGGTGGACAAATCATATTCGACTGCCGACAACCACCTATAAAAACAATAGAAAGAATTAGTTGTTATAGGTTGCACTTTCACGGATTTACGTATACAAGACATTTGTTAGAAAACCACATGGCTCTCCTCCAAGCACATTTTAGATTACTCTGAAATTTTGTCAGAAATAGAAACTATTAAAAAATGTAGTTTTTAATTTTTAGGGATTTCAAGAATTATTCGATTTTTTAGTATTTTATCAATGTTATTTATATCAACTATTATGGATCAGTCAAAAAACCATTTTTTAATTATTAATCCGAATACATTTTTCTATGTTATATAACATTTTGACATTGGGGTTCTTTATGCAGCAACCGCCACAGTACTGAGACTAAAGATCCTCGTGGAGGGCTGTTAGAACTAGACAGGTGGCGATATATCTTGAAGATGAAGCGCTTATGGATCGAATGGTAACTGCTCTGTCGCATTATTTTGACAAGCGCTTATCGGTGCTCATTCCACCCAAGGCCACCGGGGAGGTCGCCAAAACCGCTCTAATACCGAACGGACTTGTCTGGTCTAGGGATGACACTACATGGAATAGAAGTGCGGGGATAGGGGTCAGGTCAATTGCTTCCAAGACTAAAATATCTTACAGGATCGATGACCAAGCTACCATCTTAAATCTGAAATAGCAGCATTTAGTGCCTGGGTCAGAGGTATCCTGGCAAGAGCACACAAGAAGAATCGCATTTATGTATGCAAGGTTACCCAAGATGTACTGAAGGCATTGCCGGGTATGGTAGTAAAATCAGAGCTTGTCAAGGAGTGTCTAGATGTACTCAGCAGTATCGCAACAATGCACATGATTCAACTACTCTGGAGACCTCCTTAGCCAGGAAGCAGACGTAACCTTACAGCAGACAGGTTGATGCATGACAGGTCCGCTCCTCAACCGTCAGCGTGACAAATTATGTGCACGCACTACCTTCCCTAAATAAAGAACATCTCTTTAATTGGACACTACTTCAGCTTACTATCATGTGGAATAGTTGCAAGAGATTTGAATACATCAAAATGATATATAGGAAAACCACAACATCAACGATCGAAGCACTATTATAGATAGAGCGCATAACCCTGAGAGGCTCAGCCAGAGTAATAACCGGTCACTGACGGACAGAAGAATACAAGATGAGGCTAAGAATAACGATGGATGCTACGTGCCCATGGTGCGAGATGGAAGTGGAGAGATCCCATGATACGATTACTGATATTGCAAAAACAGACAGAGAAGAATAGTAGGAGAGGCTCAAGACTATGAGATCAGAGGCGCCTATAACACCGTAAATGGAAAGGAGAAACAAGGATCTCAAGAAGAATTTTAAAAAATCAATAGATTACATCTATTGTTGTGTAACAGATCATCGAATTATCCAATGGATGCAGCTGTTTGTTTCAGCGTTTTGCCGATACTGCCAACATTGCAGTTTGCATCTTCAGCGCGATCAGTTCCGATTTTGAGCTCCGCTGAAAAGCCCGGTAAACTTCCGCCCGTCGGGAGTTATCCTATTACTAGGGTCGGAATAATGCCCAAATCCTAATGGGTACTCAATTAACTTTTGTCTCTAAATAAGTGGTGACGATATTCCCGGCAGCCACGCAGAGTGGCATGCAAGTCGAGCAAAAATCGCTGACCCGCAAAAATTGGTGCGAAATTTCAGTTTTAAAGTTGAGACATAAAATTAAAAAATATAAATGTGCAATGGAAAATCTTGGAGAATATATTTCGGAAATGCGTTCGGCAATTATTATTTTCCTTCCGAATTCCGTGATTTACACCACTGCCTGGCAACCTGGGGTCATCGAGCTCACGCGGCTCCCGAGGTTCATTCGGGAGAGCTGGGAGAGGGGCTTCATCCCCTTAACAAGCTGCCTGCTCTAATTCGATTTTTCTCCCTCCACGAGCCTTGGTTCGATTTAAAATTTATCATTAATACCAATTTTTTATTCAAAATAGGCAAAATACTAGTAGGCCAGTGAAACAAGACTCGCGTTTATACTTGATACCACCCAAAAAAGTCCTGACAGGCTGAAATTGCACTAAAATGTAGAGAAAATTCCCCTAATCATCATATTGTTGGAAATATTTTCGACGTTAAAACGAACAAGAGACCTGTTGTGACAGATCAGAGGGAATAATGGAAATATTTGGGCTGTTTATACAAAACAGCCCAACACGTGGACCAACCCCATAGACAAAGGGCTTTGTCTAATGGGTAGACCTAATACCCTGGACGATTTGGTGACTGAGAACACTTGGAGACGAACTCTCGAGCAAGCAACAATAAATTTACCACAATCAACCCAGCTTATATTATATCGAGTCTTTAAACCAAAGTTTGATTGTTAACAATAAATGGAAGATCGGATTAATTAATTAAAATAAATCGTTAAATATTTAGTCTCTTACAATATCAAAAATGTGCATCTACACGTTGAGCAGAAATATGCTTAATTAATTAAAAACTAATGAAAAAATGAGGGCGAACGCCAAAAAACTACAGTGGGTTGATTTGTCTAATCCTATCGGAAAAATAAAAGTATCCAGAGGTTGGGCCGACCCAATTCTTCAAATTGCAAGTAGAAGCAATGTTCCCAAGCTCTTCGTTATTTTTTATTTACTTTTTTAACACGATTTGGAACAAAAGGTCCCAAATAATCAGCTGATCACGTATGCCCGCCCCCCTGATGCGCGCGTCGCTGGACGCACTGAACTGGACGCACTGGACAGGGCATTTCAAACTCCTGCGCATCCCGCGTATACCCATGAGCGGCGCGCGCAACGGCGGGCCGGACATACACAATCAGCTGATTGTTTGGGTCTTTTTGTGCTCAACGATGTTTAAAAATTAATTAAAAAATAATAGTAGAATTAGGAACATGACTTCGACTCGAAATTTGAAGAATTCGATCAGCCCAACCTCTGAATATTTTTATCTTTTCGAAGGGATTAGAACAATTAATCCAGTACAGTTCTTTGGCGTTCGCCCCAACTTTTTAATTAATTTTTAATTAATTAAGCACACTTCTGCTGAACGTGTGGGTGCACATTTTTAATATAATGATGAGGGGAATTTTCTCTACATTTTGGTAAAATTTCAGCCTGCCAGGACCTTTTGAGGTGGTTAAGATCCAATTTGACTGGCCTATAGGAAAACTTTTTTTTATACGTTCATGATGAGGAATTACCCTCAACAATTATTTGATGTCCAGAGGATATTTGCAGCAATTCAATAAATAAAATAGAACAATTGTTTAATACTTTGAGGTGGAGCGATAACTTTACCCAATAATATGAAGCGAATTATTCGTAATAAATAGTCACTGTTGAGAAAACGAATATAACTCTGATGAAAATTACAAAGGCTGACGATGAGAACACGGCTGAGCAAGCCTTAGCTGCTGAAAATGAGTTCACTGAAACTCATTGACTCAACTGAAAAAGACCATTATTTTTATGAACGCAAAAAAATTTGCATCTAGCATGTAAGGCAAACCGCAGGGATCCCTTAGAAGTACGTAAGTGTGTAGGGCATGCGAGAGAGATTTTGCTTACCCATTATTTTTTTTTTATTTTGTGAGGGCTATCGACCCCCAAAATGTTTTCGGTTATAGCGGGTTCGATCTTGGTTTTGGGTGGAAGGCCCCGCGGAAATTGCCAGGGCCGTAAGAGAAACGAATTTTAATACGTTTTAGGGTTATTTTTTTTTATAATTTAGGGTTTCCTTAAGCCCTATACCGCGAAATCATCGGAATATAGGAATATACATAGGGAAACCAGGAAAACCCCGGTGAGTACACTGGCTCTTCTCATGGTGGGTTTCGTATTGTGTCGATTTCGGATGTTGGATTTGTTGATGTTTTCTCCTTTAAAATCGGGCTTTGCGGGTTTACATGGAGAGCTTAAAACTTCTGAGAGTGCAGGGTGGCCAATTACGGTTTTTTGTTAGATGTGCGTGATACATACCGGTTGATGCCGGATTTTCCTGGAGGAACATCATCGTTCCCATTATCACGATTTTAAGGAGTGAAAAAAAGGGCGACCCACGAATACACCAAAATTCAGAAAATTAGGAGAGAGAGTTGCCGAGCTGGGAGCATCTCCTAAAGTCTTCTCCTGGGATTTTCGCGTTGGGGAATGATGGATTCAAGGGCTCATTAGCGACTTGCCGTTTTTTGATTTTATCGCCATGCGGTTGCATCCCACCTAAAAATGTGCGTTCCCTCAGCGTTTCGCATTTTTTTGTGAAACGCCTATTGTCGTGGGGTTAAATTTCTCGTGAGTTAATTGACGCTATCGGTTCGGATTATATTCATTTTTGTGGGTCTCGAGTATGGTTGAGACTTTGTGCCGTATACGAATCAGCTCTTCCGTCGACGGAAAATGCGCTGTTTCCCGTTTTTTTTGTCATCTATTTTTTTTATGTGAGGGCAGTATTTATGCTCGGGTTATGCGGCATTATAGGGCGGCCACGATTGACCGAAGTACCCGCAGATATTTTTCTTTTGAGAGAATCTCGTTTCCTCATCCCGTAATTACGTAATTAAAGACCCTTACCCAGGTGGGGATTAACCATTGGTCCGAGCTTGGGCCAAGCTCGGACCAAGCCTAACCTAGCTTGGCTCAAGCTTGGAATTCAAGATTGTACCAACCTTGGTTATTCCTTGGTTTGTAACGCTAGTTCAAGCTCGGACGTCGAACTCGATCCAAGGTTGAGCCAAGATGCTAAAATGAAGGTAGTCCAGGCCTGGGCCAAACTTGGACCAACCTTGATTCAAACTTGAACGTAAAATCCAAGCCGAGCCTAGGATCCAATCCTTAACCAATCCTTCAACTTATCTAGCAATTATTGATTAAAATAGAGGCAAAAATGAAATAATTAGTTTTTTATTGTAGATACAAGTCAATTTTGCCTCTATTTATCATTCCCTAATAAATTGATCTTTGAAAAAACCTAATTAATTAACTTAAAAATTGACCGCCGCAACCGAGATCCGAACGCATGATCCTAACATTATGAAACCTACGCCTTACCACTGAGCTAACACGCACTTATAACTTGTAATTTTTAATTGTGCATATAAACTCTATGTCAACTTTATAGAAATACTGTTGTTGAATAACGTTCTACTTATTTAATGTAACTAACATCAATAACTATTTACTTAATTTACATTATTCATTAACATAAGTGACTTTTTCTCGCCCCCCCCCCCCTCAAAGATAAATTAGATAGAATAATATTACATAGAATAATTAGATTTATTCTATCTGTAACTAATTGATTGTTATTATTATAGCCATTATTATTATTATTTTTTTTTTATTTATTATTTTATCCATCCATTCCAGGCTTGGATCCAAGCTTGGATCCAAGCTTGGAAAATGGTCGGAATTTCCCAGGTACCCAAGCTTCGATTTGCCTATTTTCACCAAGTTTTGTTAAACAATGTATTTCCATAACATCAAAGTTGGTTCAAGATAGCAATTCCAAGGCTTGGAATGACCTAGACATCATATATTGGATCAAGCTTGGTTGAAGCCGCGTGGTTGAAGCTCGGAATTCCAAACCTGGGCCATGATCGAAACTACCTTGGTATACCAGCTTGTTTTTGCATTATATCACCAAGCTTGGTTTAACCATGACAATTCCCTAGAATCAAGGTTGGTTCAAGCTAGCAATTCCAAGGCTTGGAATGACCTAGATATGATATATTGAATCAAGCTTGGTTCAAGCTAGGAATTCCAAAGCTTGGTATCCTAAGCTGATCCAAGCTTGGACCCATCGTCCAAGCTTGGATTTCCCCACCTGGGTAAGGGTCTCAGTTAGCGAAATTTTGGAGTCTAGGACTAATTTTGAGGGATTCGCCGGAAGGCGAGCTTAATTGGATGAGTAATAATTCAATTAATCACGGAGTTAATAGTTCAATTAATCACGGGTCCCTTTCGCTCTCGATGCTTTTGCCTAACTCACCCCCGACTTTTTTTTGGTTGTTAATGTGTTATTGCTAGTCTTAGTCTCTCTCGCCTACCATGTCACGGAATAATTCTACTTTCTCTTTATATTTCCTTTTGGTTTTAATCTGTTCATCTTTTCTGCTACTCTATTTCATTTTTGCAAGTTCGCCACGGATGTCTTTTTCCGCGTTTTCCCTTTTTTTTAAATATTTTTTTTCTATCTGTTTTTGTATTCTGTATCGGGCCGGTAAATATATCTAATGTTCTAATTTAATCTCTCAAGCTCTCTTTTTTCCTCTTCTCGTTTTCTAAGTTTCCTAATACCCCGAACCTCGTTCCAATATCGACTCACCTCTCTCTCCACAACTTGAGCCCTGAGCAACGCAGCAAATCACCACCGTTCCTCCGATCGTTCTGATTTTAATTTATGTTTTGGGTTTTGGTTCTGAGGAATTTGGTTCCGTTTCGGTTTTAATCGCGTTTGTTGCTTCCGAGGAGAGAAATCAACTGGCGCCTATATAGGTTTTTATTTGATCGGGAAAGGAAGGGCGGATGACGCCCTATTTTCCCGATAAGAAAAATTGGCCACGTTACACACATATCTGTCCTTTGCTCAGTACGCCTACAGCGAAGGAAGATCCACTGAGACCAGCCTACACCACCTGGTGGCAGAGGTTGAGGAGCAGATAGGGGCAAAGGGCTACGCAATGAGCGTTTCCCTCGATATTGAGGGAGCCTTTGACCGCACAGGAAACAAGGTCATAAAAACAACCATGTCAAGAAGGGGCTTTCCATTCGGAAACAAAAAGAGGAAAAATTGTTGAAGGCGGGTAAATTCAGATATTGACTCCGTGGAATCTTCCAAGTACAGAAAAATAATTAAGACACATGCAGTTGACCAACCAACATGATGGAGGAAAAACATCCATTTGATACTCAATAACAATGTGGGGCATTCCATGCCAACACGACCAGCCAATGACCTCGACGTCTCAGATTTTGATCGTGATTTTTTATGAGACTTATATAAAAAATCTAACTGAAGAAAGCACTCTCAATGTTGTTTTAAATTTTTATTCTGATTTTTATGTTTGTATCCAAGATGAAAGCTAGAAGAAAAACTCCATGCCGTAAAAATGTGGAAAAATTCCCAAATTTTGAAAAAATAGGAATAGTTTTTAAAAATTTATTACAACATAGTATTATTGATGGGAACTCTATTTACTAGGATAACTCTCATATTGCTGAAGGAACTAAATTTTTCTAAATCTTGATCATATCCTTCTCAAGCCGCTTTATTCGAATCCACTGGGAATTTTAGTTTGTCATGATTTAAATCAATCTAGAGCTGAAGCGACTACAGGTATGGAAAAAGTCTCACACAAACAATATTTCTTGAGAAAAACTGCATAAATTTGATTCAGCATTTTTTTGTTACATCCATTATTTACGCTGATATTTCAAGATATATGTAGACTATACAGAGTGAAGTTATGGAGATGATCATTTTGACGTAATAGTGAAGGACTGTTAGCTTCTTTGGTATAGCTAGTTTAGTAGCTCTGTTGCACCTACGTGTATATATAAATAATGAAAATAACAAAAAACTATGGAACCAAATTTACGCAGTTTTTCTTCACATGGATTTAAGGAATCTTTCGATTTTTCTATCTTCTAATTCTACGTGCAAAAGACGTTGACAGTCTGAAACCTAAAAATACGTAGTTTAAAGGCTATGTGTGTATATGCAAACAGTCAACTGGGGGTCAATTTTACAAAATAAGAATAAACGGGTAAATTAATCTCTAAAAATATGAAATTTCGTCAGTTCATAGGTCCTAATATGGACTTGATCTGTGCTAGATTTCAGCCCGATCGGTTAAGTAGTTTTTTAAATATCGGTGATTGTTTCTGAAAAGTTTTTTGCAAATATCTCAGAAACTATTCCACCGTTAACATTTTGTATTCTTTTGAAATGTTCGTCTGAATGTACTCTATATGGATCAGTCAGAATATGTATATCTACCCGCGCAAAGTTTTCAAGGTATTTGAATTTTCATTTTTTTCGAGAAAATGTCTTTTACACCTTCTCTGATTTTTAAAAATCAATCAACTTGAAATTTAGCCAAAAGATTCCTCTTATGACTGCAATGTTTTGTATTGCAGATGATGGTGGATATGGCAGAAGATTGAATGATTCGTTCAGAAAATTTTCAGCTTTGTATCTGAAACGATTTTCACAAGTATCTCAAAAACGAATCTGATTTAATTTTGCTTTTCTTCAAAATATTTGTTACATTTTGTCCTATCTAGATCAACCAAAGAGTTGTATGTGTTCGCGGACTAATATGGAGAAATTTCCATTTTCCTGTTTTTCGCGAAAATTTGTGGTAAGCGTTCTCGCATTCTGAAAATCAACCCATCAGCTTGAAATTTGGCACAAAGTTTTCTGTTATGGCCACAATGTTTCGTATTGAAGAGGTTGGAAAAAATGGTTTATTCAGAAGACTCGTGGTTCACTCAGAAGAGTCAACTATTGCGATGATCTTTTCCTGAACGGGAGTGTTAATATTTTTCGATGTCAGATTATTCAATGGCTTCTATGGACGTGATCACCACGTGGCAAAGATACTGGTTTATGATCAAGTCTTAATAAATTTCTTCATACGCTTTTGGCCAAGTGTTCAGGTCATTGACCACTTAAGGACAGGACTCTTTTGACACTAAGTTCGCCGCTCCCTTAATATCTGAAACGTGCCACAGTTCAGTAATTTAGCGAAGTAGGATATTCTAAGGGTCAACGTTGCTTTTAGTTTTTAAATGATCGAAACGCGAATATTTATTCCAAAAATCTGAAACTTTGAGAGATTACAGGTATTCCATTCGGAAGCCAGCCAGCAATGAAATTTATGGCAAAATGAAATTGAAAAGAAATAAATAACATCTGAAGTAACAATCAATTACTTGTTTTTCCATATTTGCAGGCGTTTCAGCTCGAAATGGATTTCGACTTATAAAATATGATCAAAATAAAATAAAAATTTAATCCCTTCAACAAATGAGAGTTATCCTAGTAAATGAGCTTCCTATCAATAATACTATGCTGTAATAAAGTTTTAAAAACTATTCCTATTTTTTCAAAATTTGAGTATTTTTCCACTTTTTTAGAGCATGGAGTTTTTTTCTAGCTTTCGTCTTGAACAAAAAAATAAAAATTAGAGAAAAAAGAAAACATGGAGAGTGCTTTTTTCAGTTAGCTACACCTCTAAAAAATATGTGATTAAAATCTAAGGGTCTCGAGGTCATAGGCTGGTCGAGTTGACATGAAGTGCTCCATGCTCAAATGAAATAAAAAATGTACATAATAAAACCCACCATTGCCATGTCAAAAATCGTAGTTCACGTCTTCAAAGTGGCAATTTATGCGATCGCAAACCTCGTAAATAACGTTTTATCTATCGTATTCGACGAATTATGCTTTCAGTGTATTAATAATTCAATTAATCACACATTACATAATAATCCAATTAATTACAAACTACAAAATTCATTAATACACAAAGTATCAAAAATATTTAAAAAATTTTTTAAACCTTTTTTCATCATCAGTCAAAAATCTGGAGTAGCCAGTCTTTCTCCGACACTTGGTCGTAGCTGCCCTAATTAAATGAACGAGACGTCTGCGTAAAATCCGCGCTCTTGATTTCCACGATGTCTCAAAATATTCGGTCTCCATCATCTGTTGTGAGGAATGTTCCATGACCAAATTCTTTGTTTTATCTCCTCACAACACAATCCCATACTGTGCTTAACGAGCGTCTAGTAGAAGTATAGGAAGAGATAAAACAGTAGATTAATAGAAATTCATTTTCAATAGCACTTTTTGTAGCTTAAATTAAAAGACAACGGAATATTCACTTCAGTAATAAGTACTCGTACTCGTTCTATAGTTCTATAGTTCTAGTACACTGAACTATTCTTGCAACTCTTCGTTCCCAGTATGTTACTTCGAGCTTGGAATACAGATTCGCTTTCGTAAAAATATGTAATTACAAACGTCACAAATATCCACATTTTTATCATAATTACTGTACTATGACCTCCCGTCGAATCTCCGCTTTCTTTTTATTTATAGGTGTTTGATTTCTCGATCTTTATGACACATAATTTCAAAACTGTTTCAACATAGTGACATTTAAAACGAATGACGATTAGTGAGTCTTGATATTTCATGGTTTCACTTTTCATTTTCGAACCTCAATCACTATTCTATTTCCTGTAGACTACTATGAAAAAACGGGAATAACGCGACAACAAACAGGTTAATTGACACTCAATGACAATGATTATACGAGGACGAGTTTAATTCTATAGATTAAGATTTGTTGATTTTCACTGCAATGAACTGAGAACAGGCTGGTTGAAACATGTGTCTGAAGTTTATCTTAGATTGTTTGTGCGAGGCTGATAAGGCCAAACGAGGCCCATTATGAACGATGCTTCTTTTGTGGAGACATTTTTGTGTACAATAAATATCAGCTATGCACACAGAAAACACTATACTTAAAATACAAGATTTCAATGATAATATACGGAGTTTCTGATTTCGTACATTACGAGTTTGAAAACGTAAATTACGGGCTAAAACCACATGAATTACGCCCAGAAAGTCGTAAATTACTGCTTTTGTTTCATAGATTACGATTGTTATGTCGCAAATTATAAGGTCGATCGCGTAAATTACGATTCCAAACGCGTAAATTACGGGGATCCATATCGTGAATTACGTACTTGGGCTCGTATTTTACGGCATTAAACCCGTAATTCACGAGATGGGTCCTTGTAATTTACGAATTCGGAACCGTAATTTACGGGATCAATTTCGTGAATTTTAGATCGTGAAATACGAAATTTGATCTCTTATTTTACCCTCCCTTTCCCATAATTTACAACATCTCAAGCACGTCAAATCTGTGAATGGAATGGTAAATACAAGGATGCATATTAGAAAAACGTTTTTGGGCAACATTAAATCTTCATGTTTGAGGATATTTTGGGCAATCTGAACATGACTTTCAGTAACGTTTCTCAAAATTTTTCCAAAGAAATTTTAAAAATTTTGATAATTTTGGAAACACTGCTGAAAGATGAAAGAAATTAAAGCGGGGAAATTTTGTATTGAACCGGTGGCCAGGGGAAATAGGAGGGCTGATGGGAAGAGGCGAGGGTTTGACACCCTCTAGTGACGTCGGGCCCAAAACAAGGACCCCACAGGGTGAATGGACAGAGTCGGAGGACAATTAGGCATTCGGGCCTTGACCTGCCAACCGTACACTCCTTTGACAGTCATTCAACGTAGCGTATTTCGGACACTATTGTCGCGTGATTTCAGAGCTTGTATTATATTGTATCTTATTCGATTTATTCCAACTAAATAAAAAAAATCCAAATAAAAGTACTTACTACAGATCAGAAGTGGGATATACACACGTTTTCATATATATAAAAGAAAGTGACTAACGCGTATCTGAAGTGCAGTGCCAAATAGTAGAAAAATGGCAGACCAGGATGTTAATCACCGTTCCGAGGAGAGGAGAGCTAGATCCCCCATCCTCGTTGGAAGCCATTCAAGAGATGACAGGGAGGGACGTCGAAGCAGCCGACGACATCGTCGGGAACGTTCCCGGGACGATACCAGAAGGGACGACACCAGGAGCCGCTCGAGAAGCCGTTCAAAAACGCCAAGAAGTCGTCGTAGCGGAAGCAGCCGTAGCAAAAGAAGCTTTTCAGCAAAGGGTAGTCAGGTTAGTGGTAACTCCGATGTGGCTAGATTGCTCGAGGCTTTATCAGATACGATCCCGAAACTAGTGGAAACGTCAGTAGTTCAGGCTGAGGCAATCAAAAACTCAGTATTGATGAGCTCAGGGGACCGCGTGAATTCAGAAAACTCTAGAAGTCGATACCTCAATGAAAAGGTACTAGCAGATTTTGATCCAGCGAGCAAGGAAATGAGTGCCGCTGATTGGCTAGATAACATTAATCAGTGTGCAATTATGTATGGGTGGAATAACAGGGAAAAATTGTACTTAGCCCCTTTGAAATTTAAAGGCAATGCGAGGACATGGTGGAATGCCACTGCCCTTTCTAGTAGGAAAATCTTGAGTTGGGAAGCATTTGAAATAGCCGTCGCGAAACGTTTTCCTTGTAAACAAAGCTTCGGCAAATTACTTGAGGAAGCATGCGTGTATAAGAGCAAGCCGGGCCAGAATTTAGAAACCTATAGTTTTGAGAAAATCGCGAAATTCCAAAAGCTCGCGTGGGAAATGCCAGAGGAATTAATCGTCGATTGTGTCACTTGCGGAATTACCGATGGAATCGTGAGAGGACACGTAATTGCCGCCAAATGCACTACTTTCGCTGACTTGACGATATGTTTAAGTAGTCTCGACTTAAACTCGACAAAAGAAAATAAAGACGCGAAGCGAATGGGACCGAAATCCCTCCGGGGAAAACCCAACACATGTTTTCGCTGCGGAAAGAGGGATCATAAAATGCACGCTTGCCGTGACAACTCGGGGACCACGGCCTCAAAAACCGAGGAAACCCCTAATAAAAATGGTCGTGGCGACAATAAAGGGCCCAGATGTGAGTACTGCGGACTCTCAAATCACTCGGAGAAAGATTGCTTTAAGAAACGCAGAAATGAAGGGAATAAAGGGGAACAAAAGGCATGACTAACCGTGAATTCCGAGACCTTAGACGTCCTTAAAATAGAGACCCGCGAGACAGGCAAACCGCTCAAAGAGTGCCTTATTAATAACGAGGTTGAGCATTGCATGATTGACCTAGGAAGCGACTGCTCGCTTATCAGAGAGAGTGTTGGAAGGAGAATGAATTTGAAAATTAAGGAGACGAGTCAGTCGTTGATGGGATTCAATCATGCAATGGTTACACCGATAGGTCGAGCAAAAATAATGATCACCGTAGATAATATCTCACTCAAACTAAGGGTCCTTATCGTACCAGATTTCGATCTAACGCGTGAGATACTAATTGGCAGAAATATTTTGGATCAGCCAGGCATATGCGCAATTGCCGACAAGAGCGGAGTTGTGTTTAGCCGGACAACGGAAGGTCAGGTAGAAAAGGGTAGGGACGCCGAAAAGATTCGCAGTGGAATTGGGGTTTACCGGAATCCCAGGTTGTAAAGGAATTAAAGGAAATATTGTCCACAAGACCCATACTAGCCATTTATAACCCCGAGCTCGAAACAGAGGTACATACGGATGCCAGCGCGATCGGTCTAGGGGCTATCCTCATTCAAAAGCATGGGATGCTCAAACGAGTGGTGGCCTATTACAGTCGTAAAACAACCCCAATCGAGAAAAAATATCACTCCTACGACCTGGAGACCCTAGCCGTGTTTACAGCTCTCAAGGTATTCCGGGTATATCTGCTGGGAATCAAGTTCACCATCGTTACAGATTGTAGCGCTGTGCGCGCCACAGCAAATAAAAAAGGCATACAGCCTCGGGTAGCTCGGTGGTGGGTGTACTTCCAGGATTACGATTTCGAAATTGTGTACCGACCCGGGTCGCAGGTCGCGCATGTAGATTATTTAAGTCGTAATCCGGTGGAATGCCTATCAATTGACGTGACTGAGGCTGAATGGATTAACGTAGCACAAGCCCAAGATCCGGACATCGGGATTATTAGAAAAGTCTTGGAGAGCGGTGATGTACAACCCGAAACAAAAGATTACTTTGACAAGTATACCCTAAAGGGGGGGGGGGGGGTTGTATTCCGGAGAACGGAAGAAGGGAATAAATGGTTGGTTTCGAGAATGTCGAGATTTAACATAGTTAGACTATGTCATGATGACCAGGGTCACTTTGCGTTTGACAGAACTTTCCGAAAGGTTAAAGAAAACTACTGGTTTAAGGGAATGCGACGCTTTATATCAAAGTATGTCAAGTCTTGTTTAAACTGCCTGTATTATAAATCCAACACCGGGGAAAAACCGGGAGAACTACACCCAATTGAAAAAATAGCTATTCCATTCCACACATTGCACATTGATCATGTTGGGCCTTTCATTTCAAGTAAACGACGAAATACACAGATACTGTCAATAATAGACGCATTCACGAAATTTTGTATATTAAAGCCCGTCAGAAATACAAAAACTAAACATGTCGTTAAAGCCCTCGGACAATTATTTGCCATATTCGGAGTGCCCACTCGCATCATCAGCGACAGGGGTAGTGCTTTTACCTCCCACACTTTCCAAACTCTCTGCAAAGAGTACGGAATCAAGCACGTTCTCAATGCTGTGGCCACGCGAAGGGCTAATGGTCAATGTGAGCGTTTGAACCGGACGTTGCTCCACTCGTTGGCCACAACGAGCGCAGGTGAAGCTGCGGACATGTGGGACACAAATGTAAAGGGAGTGCAGAGCGCGATCAACTGCGCCGTTAATCGCACCACAAAGAGGACGCCGGCACAATGATTGCTAGGGTACCAACCACGGAGTGCGGCTGACGCACACCTTCAAGCAGGGATCCAGACAAAGTTGGACCAGATAGATTTGAGGGAAATGCGGAAAGAGGCCAAGGTCTCGACAGACGGGGAACAGGCCACCCAGAAAAAAAGATTTGATTCCAGGAGGTTCAAAGCTGAGACCTATGCGGTAGGGGATGTAATCATGGTTGCTGCCAGCCCAGCGGCAACGGGTGAGAGCAAAAAGCTGGTCGCGAAAGCGAAGGGACCTTTCAAGGTAACAGCAGTCCTTCCAGACGACAGGTATGAGGTACAAGACATGAGGAACCTCAAAAAGTCACCGAACCAGCGGCAGGTCGTTGCCGTAGACAGTCTCCAAAAATGGGTCATGTTTGATGCCATGGAGTGATTGGTGAGTAACTAGCACTGGAGTCAGAACAATGGTCAGACACCTTTAGGTGCCACTGAAGCTGGACTTCCAGTTGGAGTCAGAACAATGGTCAGACACCTTTAGGTGCCATTGAAGCTGGACTTCCGGTTGGAGTCAGAACAATGGTCAGACACCTTCGGGTGCCATTGAAGTTAGGCCCTTAAACGGGGTGGTCCTCGGACTAGAACAATTGTCAGACACCTGCGGGTGCCATTGATGCTAGACTCCGATTAGGACAATGCACTTGAACTAGAACGATGGTCAGGCACTCTCGACTGCCATTTGAACCAACCTCATGTAAATGAGTTGAGATTGGGCAAGGAAAATGGTCAGACACTCCGAGTGCCATCGAAGCTAGAAGCAAAGTAAGAAAAAAAAGGGGAGGAAAAGAGAGAAAGCACATTGTACTTGATTACACCTTCAGGTGTCCGAGGAGCTACCTTGCGCATCTAATCCTAGGCGCCACCCTTGGTAACAAAGCTGGAATCAATTCCTACCAACAAGTTGGGGCCGATCACTTCGATGTGGAGGTGGTAATTGATCCAGGGTTGTACCACGTTCGAAAAAAAAACAGACTTTCGAAAATGAGACGATAATTTAATTAGCAGGTTGGAAACAGCTGTTACAGATTTTCTTTCCGCTCACTCGAAAAAGCCGAGGACGACTTTCAGGTCAGGTTGGCCGATTAAAGCGGGGAAATTTTGTATTGAACCGGTGGCCAGGGGAAATAGGAGGGCTGATGGGAAGAGGCGAGGGCTTGACACCCTCTAGTGACGTCGGGCCCAAAACAAGGACCCCACAGGGTGAATGGACAGAGTCGGAGGACAATTAGGCATTCGGGCCTTGACCTGCCAACCGTACACTCCTTTGACAGTCATTCAACGTAGCGTATTTCGGACACTATTGTCGCGTGATTTCAGAGCTTGTATTATATTGTATCTTATTCGATTTATTCCAACTAAATAAAAAAAATCCAAATAAAAGTACTTACTACAAAATCAAAGACGCAAAATTCTGAGAGAAATAATAAGCTATCTTTCATAGCTTCCGTAAAATTTCTTAAATTTTGCAGAAATTGCCGACTTTTCAACATTTTCGTCATTTTTATATATCTTTTGGAAAAATGTTGAGAAAAATTCACTAAAAATTAGGTACCAATGAAGATGGCCCAAAATGTCCTCAAACATGAAGATTTAATGTTGCCCAAAAAAATTTGTCTAACATGTGTCCTTACATTTACCATCCCAATTAGATTTTACATAATTGAGATGTCGTACACTACGGGAAAGGGAGCGTAAATTACGGGGTCGCATCTCGTTTTTTGCGGCCAAAAACCCGTACATTATGAGATCGATCGCGTAAATTAGGATTCCGAATTCGTAAATTGCGAGGGCCCATCTTGTGAATTACGAGATTCGACATCGTAAATTAATAGTTTGAGGTCGTAAAATACGGAGTCACGCACGTCATTTCCGTGGTCGAATCTTGTAACTCACAATATGGATCGTTGTAATTTTTCGGAATCGGAATTTGCGGTCCAAGAGCAGTAATTTACGACATTCTAGGCGTAATTTCCGTGGTTTTAACCCATAATGTACGAAATCAGACATCTCGTAAATTACTGTATTTTTCTGTGTGTATTACAGTTTGGAGTATACGCCATACTCTTATTCATCTATTTTTATAACAAGGACGAGAATGACAAATTGAAGTTGAATCAACACCAAATGAAAAATTTGATTGAGGATGACTATCTACTGTATGTGGCCGTCCACATACAAAGCTCTCTTTTTGGCGATATGCACGTAGCTGCGTGAACGGATTCCCAATGAAATTCCGGAAATTTCAAGCATTGAAAAACAATGTTTTCAGAAAATTGGAAAAATTTTCAACTTAGACAATGGATTTATTGAAGTTGTACTTGTTACTGAGATTACAGCCAAAATGAACGAGAATATATTGTCAGCTTGCCCTCGTTTGCCAAGTTATTTTACAATTTTTTGGTAATGGTAGAGTAGATTGGCACCAGCCCTATTTTGCCCTAACCATAGTTCAGAATCTCCGTGGCACCCTGTTCATCGTCATTTTTTCTTGCTTTTATGATTGAAGGTCTGTTCATCATTTTGCCTGTACCGCCCTTTGCGGTGGGCAGAGGACGTTTTCGTCCCTAAAAACAACACATGTCGGTTTACTTAATGATAATGGACACACAGAGAGATAAATAATTTAGATAATCCCAAACAAATTCGTCAGTCTGTATTAAAATAGATCCTTTTCTCCGAGATGCTGAGGTCTGGATTTCCTTGATGTCTGCAGCTCCGTCCTGCAATTGATTCCGAAATTCCGAAATTCCTTCCGGACACGATTTTCCAACTTTTTAACTCAATGTGAAGCAAAATTTCGTAGTCTTTATTCTTTATCAGATGACAAATAGATCCAAAATCGGCTGCATTTAACTTTCCCCGTCATAATTAAGTAGAGAATTTCCCTGAAAAATATTTTTTTCAAACCCTTGAATGAATTGATTCTGCCCAATCATTTGATAACGATAATTATCAAATTGTTTAGTTTATGCTTACCTATAATGATAATATTAATAATATGGTGGTATTAATTGAGGAGAATAAAGAACGTAAGATCTACCCGTTAGGATTCAATTTTCAGCAAACCTCGAATATAGATTAGCAGAAGAAACGGCTCACGATTTGGGAAAGAAATTTTGTCTGTTCGCCTTCTCTTTTTTTAAAAGAATGATACCTCAAATCCCGGTACAAACAACCATAAAAACTCTATGTATGAACAATTTTATGGCAAATACGTTTCTCTTTGAAAACAAGTTTTGTTTCATAGCTGATGAATCATTTTTCTGAAATTCATGATGAGTTATATGTACATAATATATTCTTGTCACATTATGATCTATTATAGAACAAATGAAGGAAACGTAGAGCGCTACAAGCTCGTACAGAATCTTCTTTGTGTTGAATGTTTTTTTTAGATTGTTGTTCAATCAATGCTAGCATTCAGCCATTATCAACATTAATGACATAAGATGAATACAATATGCCATAAATAATCACGAAATAGCCAAGCTAATATAAATGCAATTTCATTTAAACCATAATTTAATGGTTAAATAATCATTGATAGTCAGACATACTTATTCTAACAGTGTTACTTATACAAATGAATTGGAAATTGAGATCATAATAAGTAAAAGGTGTAAAAATGAAAATCTATGAAGAAACACGTCTGACAAAAGTCTCATAAATATGGGACAGAGTAAATTTGAAAGAAACGGTCTCAACCAAAATGTTTGTGTGCTAACGATGTAATAGACAGAATGCTAGAAAAGGTAAGTGTAAAACTTATTTATTTCGACATTAATTTTTAGCTTCATCCATGCATAATCCACTATTGCTTCCAAGGCCACGATTATGATGTTGCATGATTCATTAATAATTTTTATTACACGTTATAAATATAGAACGGATGTATGGACGATCAAAGAAGGCACACTTAAAAGATCATCGATCGTTTGGAGCAATGAAGGTAATGAATGTCATTATTGCTCAATATGTTGAGTGAGTCCAGGAAAAATTATTTCTTCGATTTGGTACCTATAATCAATGTTACATTCAAATTTTTCCTTGTAAGAAGCGATCATCCAACTGAGCAGCTTTTAAGAGCATACTGCTTTTATGTGCCTCACTAAGACGATTGACTTGAAGATCAATGTCTCGATTAAATGGCCGACGATCTTCACGTTTGCCAGATTTCTTCCTGTCTTTTTCTTTTTTCTGTAAATTACAATAAAAAATTGAGTTAGAGTAAAATTTATTCAATGACATAAACTGGATATTAATGTTTGCATATTACTATGCATCCAGTTGAAATATTTTATATTTTATAAACATATGTGGACTTCGACATGAATAGGACCCACTTTGGCCGTATTGGATTGATTTAGATCAGCCTATACCTGATTAAAGAGAGTTGTAGACCTCCAGCATTGGAAATACGAAAACCCCTTTTTAATTGTTCAAGGAGCAGCACAATTCAACGCCTTGGCAGATTAAAAAATGGCTAAACCTATTCTCGAAAATACTGTACTGTACTGTACTGTACTGTACTGTACTGTACTGTACTGTACTGTACTGTACTGTACTGTACTGTACTGTACTGTACTGTACTGTACTGTACTGACTTCGAGGCTTCTGCGACTTCTCAATTATCAGTAAGGGTAATTTCAGAAATCCGTCAGTATTGACGCCGGGCATGGCCGTTATTATTTCCTCATTCATCTTAAAGCCAGTGATCCCTCCATTTGTCTTCTATGAATTTCCTGCAATTTTCCTTGAATTTCTGAGCTACTGGCGAATCAGCCGAAAATTTGTCTGCAGATATGGCAAATGATATAGTCTTTCACCACCTTTTCTAATTAGTTAGCACTCGACACAGGTTTTGAAGCATTTGTCTCCCTCCATTTTCTCGTTAAACTAGGATGGACACGCGCTAGCTAGATTGTATGGTTTTGATGCCAATATTCCTATGCGAATTAATTACATTCGGTCCGGGCTGAGAAACCTATGCTCTGAGAGCAAATCATGCTCCCAATCTTTATTAGTGCATAACAAAGGGTAGACAAAACTCCATTGTATCGGGTCTTTGTGACCCAGGTCGTAAAGGAAGAAATTGGCTAGGAGCCGGATAGCTCCAGTGGGAGAGCACCCGATGCATAATCGGAAGGTCCCGGGTTCAAATCCCGGTCTAGACTGTCCATTTCTTCAGTAATTTTTCTTGCAAAAATTATATCGAGAATTATCCTATTTCCCTTTCTACCTAATCCAAATCCTATCCAACGACTCCATTGACGTCACAAAAATGTGGAACGCTTTCCAAAATTTCCGTCTACTATGTACTGGCCCATCTCCTCCGCTGGCATCAACCGAAATGGGGGGGACGTTAAAGAGAAGGAAAACCGGAGAAATGAGTAGAAGTGGAAAATTACAAATTTTTCATGCCTTGGCGTTGTTCATTAAAAAAACTATCGTTATAAGAGAAATTTTGAAGAAACTTGTTTAATTCTGAAGCGAAGAATAAATTAAAGAGTGCCATATTCCAGTATTCCCCCAACTATTTTATACCATACGTGCGTAAAACCCCGCCGGTTTCAGCTGAGTATCCACGCATAGAAAGTGACAGGTTTCACACTGTAGTGTGGAACCCTATGACCCATCTCTGAAATCCCTCACGTAACCGATCAGCATGATCATGCTGATTTCCTCGAGGAAATGATCATTGCAATATCATCGTGGGGTTTCACATATCAATTGCGCATCAACTCATAAGATCGTCCAGCTGTTATCGACATAACCTGAAATATTGTAACGTTTCATTCATTCATTCATTCGATAAAAAAAAAGAAATTAAATTGACAATAACATCGTACTCGATAGTGACGAGGAGATGGAACTCTCGGGAGATTTATTTGACGAAAATTCGGCATTCCTCACTGAAACAACCATATCGGTTCTCCGCCAAAGAAAACGCTGTCTGCACTGAGAGAAATATTCAATAAAAATTACGTGTATTTTCCGTAATTCTGGAGCGTAATGTGGTTGTCGGAAATTTTACGGAACTGTCACGTAATTTTTATCTGAAGTCACGGAATTTTTCCACGGTGTTCCGTAATTTTTATCTGAATTATCGGTGAAAAATACCGATACCGTCACTTAAATTTTTTGAATCGACTCCGTAATCGATAAGTGAACTGAAAGTCCCGTAATTTTTACTAAATATTTCTCTCCCTGTGGGTGATAAAAATCACAACTAGAATGAGAAAAATATTCCACCAGAAATTTTGAAATCAGCACATGAAGCGAGGGATCACATGATTCCCAACAATCTGGTACTAAATACAAGGGAATTTGTGAAAGTTTCAAGAACTGGATGGAAGAAGATATTGTGAAAAAACTACCAGAAACAATTCCCTTGGCTTATTTCGGAGATCTTAAAAAGGAATATGCGCCTTCTACTTTGCGGGCAACCTATTCAATGCTGAAGAGTACGCTTGTAGCCTACGAAAACATTGCCATTTACAACTACTGTCAATTATTGAGTTTCCTCACACAAAACGAGATAAGATATGAACCTAAAAAATCCAGAAAGAATTACCAGAAGAACAAATTTGTGAGCTCATTATTTTTGCCCCGATGATCAGTATTTACCACTCAAGGTTAGTAATAGTAAATATGAGAACAATGCAATTTCCCAACAACATGGAATCAGGTCAACATGCAGGTGTTAAGTCTTTCGCAATTGTCAATTACAGGCAGCACTAATTTTTGGTCCAACCGAAGCATACCGATTTTATGAGCTGCATCAAATCAAGCTGAACATGTTACAAGACTTTGGTAATTACTATTGATTAATTCTACATTCCCAAAGAAATTCGACAAGGAATGCTACCCGTTTACCAAAATCACCAACATTCAAAAACACAACAATAGACGACAAAAAAAATATAAATTGTAACGTGGCCAATTTTGCAGTACCGAAAAACCGGAGGTTATCCGCCCGTCTTCCCCCGACCAACTAAAAACCTACATGGGCGCCAGTTACTTTTGTCTTCGAAAGCAACTAATCGGATTAAGACCAAAACAGAACGAAATTCCTGAGAACCAAAACCTGAATCGGGTCGAAATCGGCAGGGAGGCAACCACCGCAAGGCTAGATGGGACTAACAGGGCGATAAACGCAAACGGAGTGCTCTCTAAAGGCAAAATTCCGCGCCTTATATAAGCATTAGTTCCCAAGCAACATGTTGACGTCACACAAGGCCTAACTCGCGAAGTCCTACCTCTTCTATTTTCAATCGCGTGACAATGAGGCACGGAATATAAGAATTTCTAAATAAAAATAAAGATAAATGGTTTCACCTCGAAAGGGTATCTGTATGTTAAAACTGCATTTCTAAAATAATATCCTCCTGTCTATGTCGGGTTTCTCCACGATCATCGCTACTCGGATAATTATACGGAATTGAATACAAATGGAAACGAAAACGAAATAACAAAAAATATTAGCAGCCTTGACTTCTCAGTGGTTCCATCGGAGTGGCAATATTTGCTCCTACACCTCCCATAAATACTCGGTAACGTACCTAAATTACCATAGATAATCGCGCAACACGATAAATGCTCGACTCAGGACACGAATGTCATAATTTTCGTAAAATCAAATAAAATAAGGTATTTCTCTGCAGAATTAACAAAAAAACCAATCGGTATTAGTCGATGATAACTCGAAACGAAAACAAAGTTGACAATACGAAGTTCCCCTCAATTCTTATGGCGAAACGCCATACTTTATGAAACGATAACAGATGCCCGCATATAATTTCTGATTGATTCACAACACCGTTTTGTAGTTATTAATTATTAAAGTTTTCGATTAACATGGCCTCTAATAGGGAAAATAAGAATTTCTGTACATATAGTGCAAAATATAAAATATTGTTGAAATTTTGAAAATTTACTATTGAAGCAGATATGATTTGAATCGTCTTCAGTTTCGTATTTCATGGCAGCAAGAGTTCTGCGCTAATCTCCGTGCGATGAAGATCATCGGATTGGGAGGGTTCCGCAAAAGCTCCAGTTACTTCCACGGTTTCAATTTGAGATTCCACAATGTTAAATAATGCGTGAACATTAGTAGCTATGTCTTGAATATGCTCTCTATGAGAAATTACAGCAGTGCCTTTCAAGTATAATTTTATTTTTTTGTACCAACATTTCTTAACATGTAGTCATTTTAATATCATTTTCATAAAATGAGCATAACACAAGGATTGACGAATAACATGAGCTGGTAACGGAATATTCTTCTGGATCCTATTATAGGCAAGGTGAAGGTATCGCAAAACCCTCATATTATGCCATGCTGCCATTAGCGCATTAATGCTGGCCCATGACCAGTCAATAACGCACTTATCGAATGGAGGCCATGACACTCCGTTTTCTTCCCAATATTTTCGAATAAATTCTAAATAGTCTCGAATTGAAGTGGTGGTATGGTCATTTGTTCTATATTAGACGAGGGGAAAAGTTTCTCATTAATATTGACAACACCAGAATAATAATAGATTTTTTTTGAATGAGGAAATGGTTTTCTGGCCACAAAACCAGTTGTATCAAAGAATAATGTCAACTTCGAATACATTTTCAAAAAGGAGATCTGTTTTTGATAGCCTAAATGAATTTTCTAAGGTGCCAAGAATTGCCGGATATAGCGGTGTTTATCATTTGCATTAGCAATGCTCAAAATGAGATCGGTAACCTCATCAGCATGGGAATCGTTTTCTAATAATTTTTCCGATCTTGCGTTTTGTAGCACATCAAGAGAAAGACTGAATTGGTAATTATTCTCAGAAATTGCCAGATTTTCATTCATTTTAAGAATGAAATCTTCATACACTGTCCGAGGCTTGACGAATTTCATTTGTTTTTGAGATCAGAGAATCTCCTTGCACAATTTACGATAGCTACCACTGCTTCTTCAACATTAAATTTCATTTTTAAAAAATATTTAATTCTTCCTCATGATTTCGGTTTAATTTGGTTGCTAATTCGTTGAATATTTATTATAAATTTCAAAGAGCAACTACAATTAACTCTGAACCGAACAAAGAAAATGGTGGAATTGAGGGTATTTGCGTCTATTGTATTGGCAATTTGTACCGATATGTAGTTTTCAATGTGATTAGCCATTGTAATTTCAAAAAAATCCTCAAATGGGA